AGTACTCGACAATATTGTCGAAACACTTGTTTTTTTTTTCGTTTTGAAATTGCAGAAAAGAAAAAAGATCATTCTATTTTTTCATAATTGTTTAATGCTTTTGAAATTCCAGTAAAACAAGAAAAACGTCATTTGTATTGCTTTGCATTTTGTATGTGATTTTGAGTGATATGAAAAGAATATCTACGAGTTTAATGAACTCTTGCATAGTGAATCCCATCAACTTCTCAGTGATCAATTATAGCACAAAGGGCAATTTTTATCGAGCACTTCGGCATAAGTTATATTCTGTGAAAAACGATTTTTTTTTTCGTAGGAATAGTAGGTTCTTGTACTAAAACATAAGATTGATAATACAGAGACCATTTTCGATGAAAAATCCCTCAGTGATACTCATACTCTAAAGATCTGCGAAAAAACCTTCTCATTTAAAGATCTGAAAAAATACTACATTGATCAATGCAGTTCTTCATGCTAATTCCAAATATATCTTTAATCTTCTCTTTAAATGTTTTTGTGACTGCGCCAATTCAGTGTATGTCTCAGATATAGACGAATATCCACTGACAGTTGCATCGATATCCTGTTAGATTTGTGTTTAAGACGACACCTCAATCATTGCGTAGAGCCTGTTGAGACTAGAAGAAATTAAGAACGATTCTTCCTCATGCGCTGCTCTTTTAGATTTATCTGCGTTAAAATGGATTTTTTACCTTTGACATGGTATTTATAAAAAGTCGGACAAACGAATTTTTGCTTTAAACTTCGTTTAAAGACTGCTCTTGCAATCAGTAGAATGTTTTATACATTGCAGCCGTAAAGAGTAGTGTCTTCTCAAGATATCAAATGCACAAAAAACCGTGATATTCCATCAAAACGATGGAGAATCTAGTTTCTGTTTGTCGATTTGGTATCTCAAGAAAAGACCACCGTTTTTAGCTGAAATTTTCAGGAGACTCTACTCGCTGCAAGAGCTATTTACGGATAATGTTGTAGGCCGAAATTCGTTTGTTCCGCTTAATTACAAACACTGTGCCAAATGTAAAAAGTCTGTTGTAACAGGTATAAGTCCAAAAGGGTAGCTCATGCGGCAGAATCCTTCTAGGTCTCTTCTAGTCTCAATAGATGCTACACAATGACTGGGGTCTCATCTCAACCACGAGGCTTTTTAGATCGGGTGGTTCCTTCGTAAGCGTAAACAAATCGGGAACTTTTTTTATAAATCGATAGAGCAGAAGTCTTAATTTCATGCTATATATGATTCATTGATCAATCCTTTCTATTTTTCACAATAACGGATGTTTTTTCTTCAAAGGTATTCAATTATGACTTCTCATATGACTTAATTTTTTCAATCAATTTAGCAGTTGTATCACTTTCATTTTTTGCCTGACCTCCATATTGTTGCCCGCTGTGTACAGATCGTGTTTTTTTTATCATTGTATTGAAAAATAAAGAATAAAAGATACTTCTATTTTAGATGGATAAAAAGAAAAAGAGACAATTATTGCAAAGTCGTGAAGATTTAATCGCTCAACTTTATCAAGGTATCAAATATTAGCTTTGGTTTTTTTTTTCAGATAATAATAATAATAATATTTATTGTAGAATGTTTATCAGTAAATGAAATAACAAAATGGTCTCAATTTGAACCAATCTATGAAAAATTACAGAAAGTAATTGATATAGAAAAAAGTAAAATTAATTAAAAATAATCTTTAAATGAATTAATTTTTTTATGATATAGATCTGTTAAAATCAAATTCAATATGCAATCGTGAAGAACACTTAAATACTTTTATCGATTGGTTACACTCAAATGGTGTTGACACATCAAATTTTGAAATTTGTTCTTTTGAAAATTACGGATTTGGTTTAAAAGCAACAAAAGACCTTGCAGTAATTTATTAAATAAAAATTTTTTCTTTTTTGCGAAAATTCTTCCTGAAAATTCTCTAGTCTGACGAATGTTTTCTTACTGTACCACGTTCAATTATTATCACAATGGATACAATTATGACTTCATCATCGTTTGGTCCGTTAATAATAAAAGATCAATTACTTCGTTCAATGCCAAATGTAGCTCTTGCATTATTTCTACTTCATGAACGATCTCAATCAAAATGGCAACCATATATAGATGTTTTACCCCATCATTTTAATACACCATTGTATTTTGATTATGATCAACTTAATAGGTTGAAATCATCTGCTGCACTTTGTAAGAATAATATTTTTTTTTCTTGTTGTTATTCAATTATACAACAAATAAATATTTAAGGTGATGTTTTAACACATATACAACGAATAGCTAGACAATATTGTTACTTACACAATCTTCTTAAAGTAAAAAAAAAAACAAATTTGAAAGTTGTTTCATTTTAAAGAATACGAAATTTTCTTAAATTAAGGGCCAATTGTCATTATCAAAACTTACTGAAAATTTTTCATATGATGCTTATAGGTTGATTTTTCATTTCTTTTTTAGTTGAAATTTAGTTAAATTTTAATTAAATTTAGATGGGCTGTTAGCGTTGTTTCAACACGACAAAATAATATATTAAATGATCATGGAGAACCCCAATTATCATTAATACCTGTTATGGATTTTCTTAATCATGAATATGGTCGAGAATGTATTCATTATGATTTAAAACTTCAACAAATTGAATGTAAAACAATGAAAGATATTAAAAAAAATGAACAAATATTTATTTTTTATGGAAAACGAACAAATGCAGAATATTTAATACACAATGGTTTTGTACCTAATCAACCAAACCCATATGACACATATATATTAAAATTGGGTAAAAAAAAAAACAAAAAACTTCTTTGTAAAAGTAAATATTATTTCTTCTTTTCAAAGTACTTTCAAAGACGGATAAAGCCTATGAAGAAAAAAGTCAACTTTTACAACGTTATGGATTAGAAACGTAAATATATCGATCTATTTATATTTTTTATTTGGACCATATGAAAAAGTAGTAAAATTTGTGGATACAATTGAAAAAGCTTAAATGGGTTTCAGACTTTTTTTTTACATAGGTAAATATTTGAAAAAATTGTCGTGCTTACTATATACGTACAACTACTTTGAAAGATTTAGTCGTTTACGATAAAATACAGTACCAAAACGGACAATAACCCTGATCATCATATACACTATCTGCTTGTGCGATCATTCCAATCGTTAGAAACGATGTATCACTTCATTAATTTTCACTGAAAGTTTTACGAGCTTAAGGAAAACAGCGACATCATAACACGGGTTTCCACAGTTTTCCACCGTTTACTGTGGCATTGTCTTAGACCTAAGTCAGGATGGTGATTATAGTCGCCATATTACGACTGTATTCTATTGAAACCATTGTGTCCATGATTATTATCTCAAATATTTACTAAAGTAAAAATCTAACATAGAGTTGCATTGATGAATGTTATTATATTGAAAATGAACAATGTATATATTTTACTTTTTTTTTTTTTATAGATCAGATAAATATCTGTTATTCGTTGAAGATGAACTTTTTAATCCGGCTATATTTATTTTCATTAAAATTTTTCTTATGAATTTAGGTAAAGTTGTATGAAGACTTTCATTTTGTTTTGTTTCTATTTGTTTTCTTATAGATGATGTTTCTAATGTTCTTTCAAAAAATATGACAATGGATGAGTTTTTTAATATATATGCATTAGATAAAGATAATGATGTACGAACATTTCTCAAAACACGTATACAATTATTTATTCGTTCATTAAATATAGCATCCTTTAAAACTCATGACTTAATTGATCATTTATTAATCACCGAACATGATATTTTAACAAGAGCATTAAAAAAACTTGAACTTCCTTATTAGAAAAAAGCACAAGATGTTCAATTGTTTGCTCTTGTTTGCTTTCTTTTTCTTTTTAACTAGTCATTTATACTTGAATTTGTAGTGGTAAATCATTTGGTTGACGAAATAAAGTTATGTGAACATTAGAATATATTTGCCCTAATGAACGAAAAATTGGAGCAATAATAGCATCACTCATTGTTTGAGTATAGAAACCACATTCAGCAATTACTGATTGGCATAAACGACGAATTGGTACAGCAATCCAAATCATAGCAAATGTATAGATACCAAAGATAAGACCCCAGGCTAACATTAAGGGTAAACCAACAAGACTTGTTAAAAGACGATAAATAAAAAGCTTGCTGTATTGATAAACTTTATTAGCAATTTCGTGTAAGAATTTAAAATTATAAGCACTTGGATCAGGCTCAGCAATGACATTGAAAAAATTAAGCTAAACACAATAAAATAAAATAATATTTCGTTGAATAAAATTTTGCTTTTCATACTTGCAGATGTCTGTTTATACCATTTGGATCACGATTATCTGATGTGACTGTTGGTATTGATGGATTAACATTATCGTTTTGTGAATAACCTTCAGCCATTATTATTTTTTTGTTTATAAGTTGATTTTAATGGTTGCTAATATCTGGATACTCAATATTTATAGAGAAATATGATAATTTGTTTTTATTTGGTGAGTTAGTGATAACAACGGATAGCAAACCAAATGACGACAATAAGATATGATAGAATGGGTCTACTTTACAGATAACGTTAACGTTTCTTTTCTCTTATCTTTTTTTGGTAGCAAGAATTTTAGTAATCATGACTTAATAGAATGAAATGAAATACAAACTTGTTTAAAACCAACAACAATTAAGACAACGAACTAAAAGCACTAATAACAAATATGTTCGACATCGTTTGATTTCAATTGAAGTTTTTTTACTTTAATATAGATCATTTTTTTATCTTTCAAACATTTTACTACATTCTATCGTACATTATCTTAATAAATCATAGTAACAGATCTGTTAGAAATACAGTCGTGGACAAAAATAGGTACCCCACTGAAGTGGTGTTATATTCCATCATTTTGAACTGATATTTTGTGTGCATGTCGGCCTCATTGAACTCTGATCGCAAGCACCACGCCGCCCTCACTCGGTTGACATTTCCTGAACATATCACTGGTAAATTTTCGTCACCTTGTCAAGGTCATATCTCGATCATTATTCGACATTTACTTTCGCGAAACCCTTTATTCAAAAGCCCATTGTTGCAGCTATCCCCAGTAAAATTTTGGTGAGAAATGGCTCTGAAACAATGAAGATCCAAGGTTTGCATAGAAAACTTTTACCAAGCAGAAAGTCTTAGTTTTCAGTTTGGAATCGATAACTCAAGCTAGAATCGATCAATGCAGCTGAAAATTTTAGTAATAACTCATCATCGACCCACAAGTTTGGGGATAAAATTTTCAGAGCTGTAGTTCTATGTAGAGCTGATATAGAACTGCTGGAAGAGTTCACCACGTCCACAGCTTGTCCATCAATAGAGACATGGTCTTATGAGGTGAGCTTCGAACCCAAGCAACTAGGTATGTTGGACTACAACTAACACTATAGAAATCAAAAATAAATTTTAGAAGGAGGAAACTGCGAACGAAAAGTTTTTGAGATGGCATTTTCTCTCAATTTCTTCCATAAACCATCAGCAATGTATCTATGCGTGTGAAACTGTCAAATACTAGTGAATTTACGCTCATCTTTCCAGAAATATTCTTTTTTTGGTTAGAAAAATCCAGAGAATATGTACACGAGCATAATTCAATGAAGCAGAAACTCTGTGAACTCAGCCCAAAATGGTTTTCAAGTCAAATGCTTCCTAATAGATAAGTGTATCGTGCATAGATACATTGCTGGCAGTTTATGGAAGAAATCGAGGAAAAATGTCATCTCAAAAACTTTTCGTTCGCAGTTTCCTCCTTCTAAAATTTATTTTTGATTTCTATAGTGTTAGTTGTAGTCCAACATACCTAGTTGCTTGGGTTCGAAGCTCACCTCATAAGACCATGTCTCTATTGATGGACAAGCTGTGGACGTGGTGAACTCTTCCAGCAGTTCTATATCAGCTCTACACAGAGTTGGAACCGGACAGGTTTTTTCTGTCCGGTCCGGTCCGGCCGGTTAAAAAATCTGTCCGGTCCGGTCCGGTCAGCATCCGGCCGGACGAATTTTACAGCCAAACTGGCAAAAATCCGGCGAAAATAACCGACCATAAAAATGTCTGTTAACATAAAATGTTGGCGAAGGGGAATTGAATATTCACATGCAGAAATCCCAACTAGGGGTGATCAATTTACGTTTACGAAAAATTTATAAATCCAAAAATAAATTTTAAGAATTTTAAATTAAAAATAAATTTTAAGAAATTTAAATGAAAAATAAATTTTAACGAATTTAAATAAAAAATAAATTTTAAGAAATTTAAAATAAATATAAAGTTTTATTTATTTCCAGTTTAAATTTATGTAAATCCAATTTAAAATTATAATAAATTAACAGCAAATCGCCCCCCTTAATCGAACTAGAAACTAAAACTTGGGACTGAAACTCTCCCTTCATATTTTATAGCAAGGTGCGTCGACTTTCCGAGCCCGACATCGATATAAATTAGCTATTCAGATCAAATCTGTTTTTCATCTTAATTTCAAAAAAGAAAAGAAAAGCAAGTTTATAACACATCTAACATAAAAATGTAAATTTTTATTTTTCTTGATTCAGGCAGCTGCCTAAGTAGAACAAGAGAATAAATTATTTGATCAAGGTTAAATTGAGCGATACACGAGAAAGAAATCGATAGAGATATAAAGAGAACAATCAATCATTTATAGTCAAGTCGAAGACAAGATATCTATTGAGTCTTTCGCAAACACATTCTTCTGACTTGAAAATATCATAAAAAAAACATTTTCAGTAGAGAAAATTCTTGAATGCAAACAACAATTTTGTAATGATGAGCTGGCAAAAATCCGGTTCTGTCCGGCCCGGTTTAACTTCTTGTCCGGTCTTGTCAGGTCCGGTCCGGTCCGGCCGGACCGGAGCCGGATTGCCGGACCGGTTCCAACTCTGGCTCTACATAGAACTACAGCTCTGAAAATTTTATCCCCAAACTTGTGGGTCGATGATGAGTTATTACTAAAAGTTTCAGCTGCATTGATCGATTCTAGCTTGAGTTATCGATTCCAAACTGAAAACTAAGACTTTCTGCTTGGTAAAAGTTTTCTATGCAAACCTTGGATCTTCATTGTTTCAGAGCCATTTCTCACCAAAATTTTACTGGGGATAGCTGCAACAATGGGCTTTTGAATAAAGGGTTTCACGAAAGTAAATGTCGAATAATGATCGAGATATGACCTTGACAAGGTGACGAAAATTTACCAGTGATATGTTCAGGAAATGTCAACCGAGTGAGGGCGGCGTGGTGCTTGCGATCAGAGTTCAATGAGGCCGACATGCACACAAAATATCAGTTCAAAATGATGGAATATAACACCACTTCAGGGAGGTACCTATTTTTGTCCACGACTGTAAGCATCAAAAAAGACGTCCTATTGCGCTACGAAGTAGGATCGATCTAGCAATGTTACTTCCCTCATACATTATCGAATCTGTATATAGGTCTTATGTTACTATGTTATTGCATAATACCTATTGATTATCAACATAATACCCAGTTTTGATATATTAACGACTGGTGGTCCGAAGGTAGCGGTTTATCATATGAATCGTTCACTTCAAACAACACACCGTTACCACTCCATGACCACCTTTTTACTATATTATATTTATTAGTAGAGTAATTTTTATTGATGTCTGAAATATTTTTCACGTTTTCTTGACGTACGCATCACAATTTGTCGTTTTGCTTGGCGATGACTTCGAAAACGGAAATTCAGGCAATAATCGTTCAAAAGCGAAGTGAAAGTATTGAGATCAAACTGATACCATTTTCTCCAATCTTTTGGAGGAAATTCGATTTGCTGACAAAAGAATGCCTAATACTTTTAACGTTTATTTTGACCGCAATTAACTGATTGACCAATGGTTAAATTTTTCCAATTAACTATGGCGAAAATTCTTAACTCCATTAAAGCGCAAATACTTTTTGGGGAAATTAAGTGTTTTACGATGAGTCGTAAGAACAATTATTTGTTTTTTATGAGATATTGATTTTCCTTAAAATCGACATACGCAACTTCGTGCTGCATTTTACAGTTGACTGACACTCGAATACAATCTAGTTTCAATTGTAGCTTTGTCTTCTCAAACGAAAATAAATCAGCTAAAAAAGCTAAAGGATGATTCAAAAGTCTTCGTCGTTCTTAGAAAAATTGCTCGCTCTCCCTTATTATAAATCCAAAAACGCTCAAAGTTGGATGTCTAACCTCTTGTAACTAGACGAATATTACCGTAAATTTTCAAACCCCTAATCCTTATTACGGGGAAGATACATAGGTTCGTATGATAGAGAAGATATTTTCCTATGTCCTAAAATTAAAATAACGACGATTTACGATGCACACAATTCAAAATTTCAGTAAACACTTTGTTTTCGTATTTTTTCTATATGCTTTGATAGGGCGTACGCAGCTGGTTACGAAAATTGATTTTTAGCTTTTAAAAAAGCTTTTGAGGTGGAAAAAGTTGAAAATTTTGAAGGGAACCATTTTTGCCATAAAACGCATCATTTTTCAAAATACGCGAAATTTTCTATTTCATTTCTTTTCTCATCTTATGAAACTATTTTTTTTCGGATGCACGGAAGCTTTTTCAAAAGCTAAAAATCAATTTTCGTAACCAGCTGCTTGCGCTCTATCAAAGCATGTAGAAAAAATACAAAAAAAAAGTATTTACTGAAATTTTGAATTGCGTGTATCGTAAATCGTCGCTATTTTAATTTTAGGACATAGGAAAAAAGTTTTCTCTAGCATACGAACCTATGTATCTTCCCTGTAATAAGGACTAGAGGTCTGAAAATTTAGGGTAACATTCGTCTAGTTACAAGAGATTAGACATAAAACTTTGAGCGTTTTTGGATTTATAATAAGGGAGAGCGAGCGATTTTTGTAAGAATGACGAAGACTTTTGAATCACCCTTTATGCTTTGCAAAATATTGAATATCTTGAAAGAGTCCAAAGTAACATTCTTCGACATTTTCTGCTAGCGCTGTCTTTGCTAAAATCAAAGAACTATGCATGTTAATGTTGTGATACATTTATGATCAATATAAAGACCAATATAAAATATGAGAGAACAAATAAATCTACATGTTTAATCATTCAAGCAATACCACATGTTGATCTCCACACAGCAGTGTTTTAATAGGTTCCTATTGCGATAACACATCACATAAAAAGGGTCCTTTGAAATAAGGCATGTACTACCGAATAGCTCAACCTGGACTCTACCAAATGAGATAGAACGAAGTTTTCGTCAGATGGAATTTTTTTCTCACGAGAAACTAATGGTTCTGTGGGATGAAACGAGGTTGAACAATCAATTCAATTTTTTTCATATGATTTGAAGTCTTCATTTTCTTACCTTTCACAATATATCAAATAACTTACATTAAACCTTTGAGTTTTTGCTAATGTATTTGACTTTTGCAAGACAATGTAACATCCTTCCGTAGATCCTCACCCAAAAACTTCGTAAAGAATATGCTCAGTTGTAGAGAATACTTGTTAAAGCACTTTTATAAGCAGTGAATTATAAAAGCATAAAAAGTGCTGAAAATCTTTTTGACATATTCAATTTTGTAAAGTTTCTTTTGCTGATCATTTTCATTAAAGAAATTTTGTTTTCACTGACATATCATAATGTTAAGCATACAACACTGAAACGTCGAAATGTGTTGCACCTCTATAATTATTCAACGTTTTATAGTATTTCAATCGTAACATTAGTGTATTGTGTTCATCATAGAGAAAATAATTTTAAGAAACCAATCATTGAAAAAACCTCTGCAAAACGAAATACGTCAAGCAAGTTTTGGAAAAGTTTCATGCTTTTACGGCTGGCTAATACAAAAAAAAATGACCGGAAACAAAGGTGAATTTTGTATTAAATTCAACTGTCCTAGGTTTAAAATATGCCATTAAACCATTGATTTATGAAAAGAAACTTGGAACATCACTCGATAATCAGAGAAAAGATTAGCTCACCTATTCGAAACCTAGTCGAAATGTGCAAATTTTTTCCAACAGATGACTTTTGATGCCTACTGTAAAATATATCAAGTTAAATTTGATGAATAAATAGGTTCTCATGGTTTTATTAATATTATACTGCTGTTCATATAAAAGTGTTCGCTAATGAGGTACTACGTATTCAAAAACATTGATGCGACAAATACTTGGAAAGAAAACATCGAAAGAATCCTTCAGTTAGCTAGGGGCGGCCCCGCTCCTAACCAGACGAAGCGCAGAGTGGTCGCCCGGCTCGACAAAAAGGCTTTTGGTGCGATGGTCGCCGCATGTCGTTTTTTAGGTGTCATGCGCGTCTCTGCTGTAAATATTTTATCTAATGGTTCATGGCATACTGATTGAAAGATTGAATTTGATGAGAAACACCCTTATCAAAAGGGCTTTGGAATGATGACACAGAATCTAGAAAGTCTTACAAGTCGCTAAGACCCTGATATTCGAAATCAACACAGTAAAATCCATAAAGTACTGTATGTTTCAATGAAAAGTCATTGATCATATGGTAAGCTTTCCTCATAAGATAGCTGGATGATTACAACTGACGATAGATAATAAATCCGAGAAAGAATCAAAAATATTGTTCCCAGTCATGTTTATATCTGTTAATACAGTACTCTTATTATTGAATCTCACAATGAATAACTTCCACTTTTACTTTGACTTTGATCAGATTTATCGAAGCATAAATATTCTGATTTACTGCAACAGAAAGAAAAAGCGCACTCTAGTACAATGCCAGTGTCTCCTAAGTAAAACCGTTTTTCGATAAATTGTAGAAACGATTGTTTGTTATTTATGAAATATCGATTCTTTTCGATAATCAACATTCATAGTTTCCCACCACATTCAACAGTCGAGTGAAACTCAAATGTCATTTAGTCACTCTTGCATATTAATTATGTCAGCATGTATTTAATTTACTCTAACTAAGTTTCATGAACATATCCATTTGATCGATTGCCTAGAAATGAATAAGTTAAGATTTTTTTGATAATACGAAATATAGGTTTTAGTCATTAGTTTATGAACAGTTTTATATACAATTCATTTGAATGAAGGATCGATCTTCAGAATTATCATTCAGCAATAAGACTAAGCTAAGGGCATCACCATATAGTTCTATGATGAATATTTTTAAAAAATCCAAATGGTGTCAATAGCAGGAAGGTTTTACTATATTTAATCCGTTGTCAATTTTCCAAGCCCAAAAATGCATGAAACTGTAAGCAGACAAAGAAGTTATATTGTAGATAATATATTGCATTACATCTATGTCTAAATGATTATCTTTAGATTGCTAAACTCAATAAATTACAATTCATTGATACACATTCAAATGAATACCTATCGAAAAGCAAATTATCAATCTCAGTATTAACTCTATACTGAGGCCGCTACTCTCTATATTTGTAATCTGAACCATTATAATGTGAACATGGAAGTCTTTTTATTCAAAAAATGCAGATGATTAATCGCTTATCAAGATGACATCATAGGAAACTTTTCTATTGCAAAGTAAATAATTCATATAGAATCTTCTTCCTGATTTTATGTATTATCTATCAAAATTTCATTCTTTGTAGATCTTTCTTTGCTTTTTATTTTCGTTCATGCAGACACACGAAAAACATAGAAGATTAAACAGGTAACACACGCTGTTAGTGTAACAATGTGTATAAAAAAAACAAAAAAAAAAAGAAACAATGGTCTGCGATCTATTCTTTTCTTTTTTCTTCTTCTTGTATCGTGCTCTTTTCTGAACATAATTTCATTTTATTTGAAGATTTTGCCTTGATTGAACTTTTTACCATTGTGTTCACCTTCCCAAAGGAAATATTGATTAACTAAATTTTTCGTACTTTCATCATCAGGTGATAATTTCTTCCATGAATAAGATTCGTAATCAACTTGCCAATCAGGCGAAAGCTAAATTTAAAATATAAATATATAAGAAAAAAAAATTTCTCTTTTTTGTTTTTTATTTTACTTCAAATGCAAGTTGATGTCCACGCCAAACCCAAATACCCGTAATAGTGTTATTATTATTTTCACCAAAAACACACATACTAGCAAATGCATGTTTACGTAATTTATCTAAACGTTGAAAAAATCCGGATACTAAATTGCATGTCATGAATATTTGTGTCAAATCTTCCGGATATTTATATTCACAAAACCATATTGAACAATTTTCCTTATCAAAATTACTCCAAAAATATGGTATAGCTTTTCCAGCTGTATCTTCATTTGAATAAACACGTTTAAATTCATCCATATTAAACGATGTTTTTGGCATATCAGCGAATGGATCTTTTTGTTTAGGTTCATTAGCATAAATATCTTCAGTTTCATCGCCAGCTTCTTCTTCATCATGTTTTTCGGCTGTCTTTTCTTTCTTTGCTGGTTTTGCTGCTTCTTTAGCTGGTTTTTCCTCTTTTTCTTTCTTCTTTCCACCTTTAGCAGCTTGATCGGCTCCTTGCGGGACACTTTTTGCAGATGCTTGTGTTTGTGGTGCCTGTTCTTGACGTGAAATTTCAGCATATTTCTTTGCTAAACAACAAAACAAATATTTCAAAAAATAAATAAAAAGAATCAAAATTGAAATTTACGATCAAATTGTGCTGTTTTTTCACATAATTTAAAGTCTGTACCAATAACTGCTTGAAATTCTTCTTGATGAATCAATGTTAAGAACCATCGATTTACATGTGGATAAGGATCACGTAAACTTGGTTCAAGTATCTAAACAAACAAATTTTAAATATTAAACATAAGGACAAACCATGCATTATTCATATGTTATACCCATTGAAAAAGTAAAAGTAAGTCACAAGCAACAGCAATATCAGCTAATGTAATACGTTCACCAACAAGATATGTTCTTGTACGAAGATGATTATTAAGTAATTGTAAAGCATGTTGTAATTCAGATTTAGCACGTTCATGATTTTGTTTATTAAATTGCATAATACCCATACATGGATAAACTAATGTAGCTGATGTTGGATTTATTTCGTGTTCACCATAATTAATCCATTGAAGAACTTGTGATTGTTCAGCTAATGTTTTACCACGAAGTTGTTCATTTGATACTAAATATATAAAATATGATTGATTCGAAATAAAAGAAAAAGGGATTTATTGACTAACAAAAATGAGCAATTGCATTGGATTCGAATAAATGAACGCCAGCATCATTTTCGTAAGCCGGGACCTAAAAAATAAAATTGAAAAATAATAAACAATTACATTCTTATTTTTGTTTTATGCATACTTTGCCTGTTGGAAATTTCTTAACATATTCCTCTGATCGATTAGTTTCATTCATTTTGAATTTATCTTCGCCGGCAACGGTCAATTTTGCTCCACTATAACGAGCTGCAATTTGAGCTTTATAAGCACGAAAATTACCCGGAAAGGTATAGAGTGTCTAGAATACATTTATTTTAACTATTATTTAATTATAAATATTATCAAAATACTAACGCCATTGCCTTGATTTGATGCCATGTTTGCTTTGTTGATGTAGTAAGAGATGATGGATGGTTTGAAATCTACAATTTAAATAGGTAATAATATTTAGTGAATTGCAAAAGAAAAGCTGATGAAATAGAATCAAGATTTTCTTCTGTCTTCATCACACTATTGACTACTGTGTACAGTAAATGTGTAGATAAAAAAAGTAAGTTTATTCAATGAAACAGATGTTTCAATGGAGGCATTTGGTCTTCTTGCGTATTATTGGTCTATTTGGAGAACAAATAAACAACAAGAACAACATTCTATGGATTACTTTATCAATATTGTGGAATTTTATGTAATCAACAACGACGTAAAAATCGAAAAAAATGCATTCAAATGATGAAACGAACATAAAAATCGATGTGTTTTAAATTCACTAATTGAAACAAACATTTTGATTAATTTAATTCCATATTTTTGATAAAAAAGATCTCTTTCACTGCAGTTGTTTAATTAATATGTTCATTTTAATCAATGAAATTGAAATGCATCAATTTTTATATTTGTTTCAATCATTTGAAATGTTAGCATTTTTAATGTTTTCGATATTAGAATCATAAAAGTCAAAAAAAAATTATCTTCAATTTATAACTTCATGAATATGCTGGCTTGAAGCGTAGCGAGAAATGAGAATCAAAGTCGAATGTACTTAGTGACGTCACATCCGAATTTCGTGTAAACATCAGCAAAAGAAATTGTAATAGAAATGTGTTAAATTAGAGTGTATATTCGCACATATATTTTATTTTTATGTAGGATGAATTTCACGCTAAGGATGGCGCTACAATACGTTGGCGGCTTAATCAAAGCATAGTAGATTTTATTTCATTAGAAAGATTTAACATCATAAATAATATAGATCAATAATGTATTTCATGTGCTAATAATACAAGCTTTTAAAAAATAAGTTTCATCCTTAGCATACTGATGAACTTCCAGTAGTTTGACATCGATTTGATGATTCGTATATATGTGATCGTAAATGAGAACAACAGTAATAAAGTCAGCTAAGAACTGATCACAATTATTAACTTACTAAAAGTTCCCAGAAGTGTACACAAGTGCATCGAATCATTTAATGTGTAAGCTATAGGCTAGTCCTATGAAGTGTTCATAGTTTATAATTACACAAAATGCTTCATATACTTAAATGCAATGTATCGTAGTCTATTGGCTGATTATCCATTCACCGTGTCGTTCTATGTGTGCAATTTTATATGTATGGGTGACCCCATTGCGTATACTGAAGTTATGCATTTTCATATATCTGTTTGTCTAAATTATTTCTCAGTAAACCATGGTTCTAGAACACATTCAGAAATTAATTGATGTTCAAGAATGAGCTGTCTCGAAGTGGTTCGATCGGCATCGGACTTACTTTGCTTAACTGAATCTCAGGATCTAACCGTCCTACGTCCGGAAAATATAGAGTAAATGCGAACTACATTCGCAACATATGACTCATGCGATATATATTTTTACATTAATGTGCACTCATATCTCTTCAGTTCGATAGAAAAATAACAATACATCAAACAATTTATAACTTGACAATTTGCTACATGTGTTTATGAATTAATAGCAAAAAGTACGATAGAAGGTGAAGCAACATAAGAGTCTATTTGAAGCTCTTCACACTCATATATTGGATTTTGAAGAGACTGACGCTTAGGCGATCTAGTCTCTATTGTTATGACACAGAAAAAGATGATCGATTTTTGAAAAACCTTTGACATTCAGGATTAAACTTCGACGACATTCTTTTCGATGGAACAAAAAAATTAAACGAAAAATATCTTATGTGAATCTATTATATTCGCAGTTTTTTTTAAATGTAGGGCATCAATGAATGTCGTACCTTAAAGTGTGCCATCCTTGTCCTAGGTTGATCTAGTATAATACTTACTATTTGTTGATATGTGATGTCCAAACAGTAAATCACAAACTTTTGTTGCTAAATTAAGCCTTGAGGAAAATATATTTTATAACTATCATGCATAAAACTTAAAATATCTGATTACAGGAGAATGTTAATACGGCTAGCTGTAATCAATTTCCAATCAGACAAACAATCGATTAAAGTAATTGGTTTTTTATTTCTTTTATCTACATCGTGTAATTCATTGTCAATCAATGTTCTAGCATCGTTTTCTATATTTTCTATTTCAAAACCTGTCGAAACCAACAATATTGTAAAAGAATCCATCAAAAACCTTGATCAATGCATTGACCTACATGTCTTGCTGCAGTGAAAAGACTATGATAAAATTTTTAGCTCTTTACCAAAGCAAAAGCATCATATGTTCAACACCACAGAAAAATTAAATATATAGAATAAAGATCCTTAGAGAATCTAGGTTGCATAATCAAAAAAGAATAAACAGAGAAAATAAAAGAAAAGCACATTTAGAAGAGAAATTTTACGATAGTTTAGTATTTTTAGGTACCTTTTTGGTAGATTTGAAAAATACAATCATAAAATGTCATATAGAGTTGTAAATAGTCAATAAGTTTAATTAAATAATAGTACATAATCGAAACTTTGGTTTACGTTTTTCATTAAAGTACTTATTTCCGATGCGAAAATCCTAAATTCGTCTTCTACTTAAGAAATCGTGTTAATCAGAAGAAGATAACGAACATCTGCTATTGTACTATGGCTATAGTTTATTTCAAGTTCTCTAGCTTTAGACTACGAAATCAGTGTCAACCAAATTTTTACTAATCAACAAAACGATGACAAATTAGAAGAATAGAAGAACTGTACGAAAGTCGATGCAACATGAGACTCAATTGAAATATGGACTGTGGAGTTGAATATGGTTCTCGCTAGTATTTTCGATGATACGTATCTCAAACGAAAACAAAAACATTGGAGATATTTACGATATTGAAAAATGACGTTTTTATTTTGTATTCAACTGAAGAAAACACAGCAGCTTGATGGTACTTTGCACAGTAAAAAAGAATACTTATCTGTGAAGTTAAGAAACATTTTTTCTTTTAGTCCTATTGAATTCATAGATGAAACGAGGGTGATTGTTAAACGACGAAATCGATTTCATCTCGAAATTAAGCTTTTAACTTTTATCAACAGTCAATTCAGATGTCCGCAGTTGATTATTGTGCGAATTAGATGGTTAGATTTGATTTCGACTGCCTCAAAACTTGATAGTAATTTGGTGATGTTATGATGCGTTCTTATTTAAAAATTTAACTCGAATGAAACTATTAAATTTAGAACAAATCTGTATGGTTAAAAAAGACTTCGTAGACATGAAATATAATTGTGAAACACTTTTATTCGACAGGTTCTAAAAATTAATCAAATTTTAGTTTTAGATGCAAAATAAATCAAATAAAATCTATATGAACTAACAGAATGAACAATACTCGATTCAAATGTATCAAACAGAAGGTAATCAATGTATAAATTCCATTCTTTCAAAATTCTTATATGCCTCTATCTACATATATATTCTTCTTTTTGTTATCTTGTAGGTAAACTAAACTCACAATATTAATTATTTAATAAATATGCAACCAAAAACAACCTGCTTCTTTTTGTTTCCACTATTAAGCTCGTAAAAAAGTATACAATTCTCCAAAATTTTTCAGCAATGTATTCTTTATTCGAGAATACGATAATTGTTACTTATTAGTAGTTGTCACACAAAGAATATTCATTTCAAACTTATCAGTTTATTGTAATTCACTATTTGATATACATTTCTTCCTATATCATTGTATTGAACCAATTTTATTATTCTCAATGATTACAGGTGAATTCATTGTCGAATGGTTTGAATTAAAATCTATTATCAAAGCCACATCATGATTGTGAACGCTTCTTTTTTTTACATCGAATAAGGGAGAATGTTCGCATTATGGAAACAAGAGAAGACTTTTTATGTAAAAAAACAGAATCATTATTCATGAAGAATAATTGAACATTTTAACTATCTATAAGTTCATAATCGAGATCATCTTCGTCAGTTATATCAAATATATATAAATGTTAGTGTCTAAGCTGAGATTACTTTCTATCTCGAATGTGAGATTCGTCTAGGCCAATCGAAGATTATACGTAATCTCTTTTGACTATTATTGAGATCCAAGAGACCATCCAAATATTTCTGCTTTACTTGAATAAAATTGCTATCGTTAGATTGGAGTGTATGATGGATGTGGATATAAATATAAAGAAGATCCATATTCATGGACATCCACATCTTCAAGAAGACGATTCTTTCTTAATTCGAGCTATCTGCAGTGATCATCCTATTATATCTATTTTCACTTGTTTTAATAATGCGAACTTTTTCTTTTCCATCAATCCAGAAGAACATCTCCAATCAAGTAGACACAATTATGGATTATCAGGTAGTTTGTCGTAGAAATATTTTTAAGGAAAAATCATAATTAATCAAATTAATTAATGTATATTGGAAAAAGTGCACTTCTATATTTATTTCATTATGGAAAATGTTGTATAAATGGGTAAACATATTTACTAATTTGTTTTCGTGATAGAGAATGGATACAAAAATAAATGACTTGGATTAATAGAAAACATCCATTTGATATTTAGTGGAAAAGATTATTTCAATTTGTTTTCTACATATATATAAGTTGCTAAATCGGTAATTTATTGATAATGTTAATTAATTTTATATTACGTGTCATTACTACAAATATTTGTTAATATTGATTAATATTCTAATTTTATCTTTGTCTATAAAAAAAAAGTCATTTATGAAATATTGAGATAACATTAGTAAAAAATGATATAAAAGTATTCATCGGTTTAATCAAAGAACACATTTAATTATGCATGTTCATTCAAAAAGTCATAAGTATAAATCATTATTTGAATTTTCATCGTGAAATCAATTTCAACAAACGATTAAGATGTTGTTTATCAAATACTCAATACTTTTTTAAAATGTTAGAATAAATTTTTCTATTAGGATTTCTAATTAATTAGC